TTCTTAGAAAAAACGGGCGCATGATCATTGATGTCTTGAATCTCGATGGTAATCGAGAAAAATTCCAGAGGGGTTTCAAGCAAAATCTCAAGACCGAAACTACACAGAGATTTCTGTCCGCAGAGCTGCTCTCTGTCTATTCTCTCTTTTACCACCAAATGTCCTTTCTTGCGGTTCAGCTCGATATATTGTCTACTATCATCAATAACGAGACGCGCACGGCCAGAAACCAACCTTTTTACATCCAAACCGAGATCCTTCGCCACATCTCCGACAAACAATCCTGGTCTCATTTCCTCTGGAATCGAATAACGAATCTGCCCGGTCACGGTGTTCAGCACGAATAAAAGGAAAATGGAGAATCCTGCTTGCCATTTTACACACCGCCTCAACTGGAGTCCTTTGTTATCCTGCATCCTGCAAATGTAGTAATCCAAGCAAAATTCAGTCATACGCGTCCAGTTTTCAAATATTCGAGCATTTAAAAAAACTCTCTTCAGTATTGTTAAGAAGATTCCAAACCGAGCCCTTCTAATTTACAAACAACAGCTCGACGTCTTTTCTCTATGCCTTTTGACGCAATGCCTTCTATACTGAGTTGTTTTGCTTTGCTCACTGTCGTCTCCCTGGGCAACAGCACCTCTCACAGTCAATGAGCGGCACAACAGCAGAGCTGGACTGTCCAGCATAAAATAAGAAAAAAAGTGAGCTACACTCTCTGAAATAAAGGTACAAAGCTGCCCCTGGGGTGGTGCCTTATCAAAAAGTACACATTTGTACATAAATGGTTGATATTAATACCTGACGCCCCAGTGACAGCTTTTGTACCTTTATTTCTGGTTCTGTTGGTTGTCATTGCTGATCAGAAACTCAATAGCGAGTAGTTTGATGCATCAAAAAATCTTTTTTAATTGTGATTATCTGTGCAGGAATGGAGACATGAAATCAAATTACAATGCAGAATTACAGAAAGTGAATCCAACCAGTTTACCAATTACAGAATAACCACCAACCAATAACACCATTTACTCTATACTATAGCGTTTAACAAGATTTTAGGTGCATCGTGCATCTAGCCCTGTACATTACACTAAAACCTCTTATTTAATCAAAATAATGGAATGTGTAAGATCAAGCCAGTCAGATGTGATTCTAGTGTCTAAGCTAGCAGATGGCCTACATTTGAAAGGATAAAAATAAGTGGAGTGTGATCTCCAAAACAGACCCAGACACAACATTGTGAAGACAGATCTGATTGTCAAAGCCTTGTAGCAATCAAAAATAAATAAATAAATAAATTCATTAACACTATACAATAAGGTTGAATCTGTCAACATTAGTTCATATACTGTATATATACAGTGGTGGCCAAAATTGTTAGAATACTTGGCATATTTAAGAGGTTTCAGTTGTTTTTGTTGAATTGGCCATTACAATACCCATAAAACGAACTACCTGTGACAGAAGGAATCTGCTGGAACATTGAAAATGATGGACTGGCCCCCCTTCAAAGTCCGGACCTCAACCCCATCGAGCAAAATTGGGGCGAGTTGGAAAATAAACAGGACAGATCTATTCAACATTCAAAGGAAAGCCTTTGGCTTGAGTTGCAGAAGGCATGGGATAATATTAGTGTTTAAGTTCTCAGGAAATACAGTATATTGACACTATATCAGAGAAATGTGCTGCTGTAATTGCTGCAAGTGGTGGACATACCAAACATTAAAGTTAAAAGTGGATAAATATTTGGAGGCAAAAAATATTTTCAATATTTTCAGATCTGTCGGGTGTTCTCACAATTTTGGCAATCAATATATATAAATATTTATTTGTGTGTGTGTGTCTGTGTATCTGTCTATCTATCTATATATCTATATACAGTATCTATATATCTAGATAGATAGATAGATAGATCTAAAAAATGCTGTAAAAACTGTCTTTTATTGTTAGTTCATTGTATCCAATGCATTAACGAACTTAGCCTTATTAAAGTGTTACCAGAAACAAGATGTGTGTTATTGTGCCGGTATGTGGTTTTGGACATTACAGTTGATTTGAACACTTCAGCTGTGTAGATGCATAAAACATGAGCAGCACTAAAGCTGCCACATAGTCATACATACTCAGTGTGATGGGATTGCATTATTCAGACTCTGTGTCCCATGATGCATTTTAATGCTGTAAAAGTGGGCCAGAGCCCAGCCTTAAAGCATAGTGACACACGTGCTGCAGCAGGAGAGGAGAGCCAGAGACCTATATAGGGCACCCCCCCCACACACACACTCATGCAGTAAGATGATGCAGTGTCTCTGACACAGTTTTAGTGAAACACCACAAGATGGAGCACAGCACATACTGTATAATAACCTTCAGTTACTGAACTGAACATAACTAAACAGTTCATAAGAACAATGACATTTTAAATGACAAAGAAAGAGAAAGAAAAAGACTGTGCAAGAAAGTAAAAAGAGCTTTCTGTGAATTGCCAACTGTATTTTATTTAACAATAGCAGTAAATAAAATGTTTCTTACCTAAATGGAGATTGATTCGTTTCCATTCATTAGGATCGTGGAGGGAAGTGGAGGTCGTGGAGGGAAGAAAAGAGAAGAGAAAATAATTAAAAAAACTAAATTTACATTTCCTGAAGAAAATGTGTTTTGTTTGAAGCACTTACACTGTACGCAATAGTGATACTGATGCTTTCTTTGGCAAACACCATTAATTAAAAATAAATAAACATAATAAATATAAAAGATAAATGAGAGACAAAAAAAAATAAAAAATCACACACCAAAGTGCACATAAAACAGGTATAAAATACAGCTTAAACCAGAACTCTCTGACAACTGTGACATACCAACTGTAAGAATGGTGTCATCATTATCTCTATTTTGATCAAAACAGTGTGCACTGAGCAACACAGGAGTGTGTAGGGCAGGTGAGGAGACACACATTTCTGCCTCTGTCCTTAAATCTCTTCAATAGCTTTTCATGAAGTCTCTGCCTTGTGTGCAAATCCACTAGCGTGACAATCAGATTGGATTTCAAAGCAAAACTGGATTTTACTATGGTCTGTGTATGTTTTAATATTTTGCTGTCTATTTTCTCTCACCCTCATACACAGAGGACCATTCTCACGTGTGCAGCAGTGTACAGCAGAAGTAGGCCTGCCTAAAGCAACAATTGAACCACACATGGGTGAACATTAAATAGCACACAGTGGCTGGCTGGGAAATGTACAGCATTCTGTGGATACAGATCTGCAATACAGACTCATATACGTAGCATTTAACTACATGCATATATTCCATATAATTTGCTTTTCAGGGTTATTCATTCATAACTGGCACTTATAACAACTACTGATAGGCCAAAATCCACATTCAATTAATAAAACACCTTTGCTGGATTTTAAGCAGTATATTAACCATCACCAGATCTGATGCTAATTGAATCCACACTAGTGTCACCTGAAAATCCCTAAATGAAGCTCAGAATGACACTTGGGTGAAATAATTTGGAAATTCTTCACAGTCTCTCTTTTGCCTTATTATGGTTTAATGTATGCTTATGTGTCGTTTATGGTCCAGTTAAATGCATGACGTGTTACACATTGCAGATGAGCTCAGTGCACAAATGCACAAACATCTGGCTGTTTAGAGAAAACATTACTATCCATTTGGACTGTAGACATGCAGACCCGGCAAAAACCAATATACAGTTTACACGTGACAAGACTAAATCATTCATTATCCTATATAAGAAGCTCAAATCATGAGCCTGGAGTCTTAAAGTTATGGTTAGATATTTGAGAATGATTCAAATAGCAATAAACTTCAAATTTTTAGGTAAATAATATGACTATTTTATGGCAAAGTATCTTAGTGCCAAATGTAATTTAAACAATTAAATGAAAAAAAATAAATTTCACAGATTTCCTGCATTAGACTTTTCACACTATGCTTAACTCTAACCTAGACAATTTTTACTCTTGGGTTTTGCAAGATTTCACACTAGTAATTTTTAAACTTTGCAACAAGAATCCCTGCTTTAGAGCGAAACTGATGCTAACACCAATGTATTACTAACTGAAGGCAGGTATGACAAGTGTAACTCTAGACTAGACTTTAAAGTAATCATTAAAATTTGAACGACTTGAAGGAAAAATGCCATATTACAATCTTATGCTACCTGGACTGAAAGATAAGCATATGCATAAACACATCCTGACACTGCACTGCTTATTTAAAGAGATAACATATCTGAGCCAAGACAAAAGAAAAATCTTTTATACTGGAACACTGGGAAGACTGTTGAATGTTGCATGTAGTACTTCCTTATTTCCCATTTAAAGAAGGCACTCAGAGTGTGCCCCTTTTGATAAACTAATTTTATAACATAACTCCTTTTCTAGAACTGAAAGTCACTTTATTCTATTCAGAGTAAATGTTAAAATAAATAGTAAAAATTGATCTCTGTAGAAATAAGTACATGCATGGTTCATGTTATACTATGGTTCAAAGGATATATTTATTTATTATTTGAAATTTAAGTTTAAGTTTAAAGTCACCAGTTACAAACTGCATACAAGACGGAATAGTACAATAACAGATAAGAAAGGAGACAGCATGATACAACAGCTTATGCATAAACCCCCAAAAAATATCTAGAGTACAGAAAGAGAATTGAAGATGAAATCATGATACATGTGATTAAAAGAGATAAAAGAGTGCTCATGTGAAAGAATGTAAAAGTAAACATCCAAACAAATTGAAATACTATTGATTTCTAAATAAAGTGACTAAATCTCCTTGCAAACTGTACACACACACACACACACACACACACACACACACACACTTAGAGCAGATCAACATACAATAAAAATATATTTTTAGAGTTTGTGTTTACAAGTTGTGTAAAAAATCGTCACATGCACAATTAAAGCAGAAAAGAACATACAACATTAAAGTGAGGGACTCACTGAAGACGTGCATTATAATAATTAACATTTGTCATTTGTTTGATTAAAGGATTTTCAGTCCAATTTGTTGATAAGGACTTTCTGTATGATTGTCAGGGTCAAACCATCTGGGTTAGAGTTTATGTGGCACTAATAGCTTTGCACGTGTGGCGCAGTGGCCACCCACATGCAACAACATCCCTCTCTTATTCAGCATGTCCAAATCAACAAAATCAGAGCCAAATCTGAAGTCCCCTTTCCATGAGCCTGTGGTTAAGAATGAATTATATCGATCATCTTTCTGCAGAGTATTGAAGTGGCTCACGTCAGAGTAGCCAGGTGGTCCGTAGGTAGGAGGAAAAACGGGCAAGTTTGCAGTTGAACGGTACATGTATCGGTATCTACATAATCTCATATAGACCACGGCAATGATGAGCACAAGGAAAAGACTGGACATGCCTGCCAGAGCCATTATTAAATATAAAGTAAGGTCACTGGGTCCATGTGATTTATCCGTGCCACGTGCAACCAGCTCATCGATGATAGGCAAGCCGTCTTCTATCATAATATTGACAGTTGCAGTTGCAGACAAAGATTCAAGCCCATTATCAATCACAGAGACTAACAAGGTTTGCTTGATTTCTTCATCTTCTGCAAACGGCCTTAGTGTCCTAATTTCTCCACAGTTCAGTCCAATGAAGAACAAATTAGGCTGTGTGGCTTTTACAATTCGATAGGACAGCCATGCATTGTGCCCTGCGTCTGCATCAATCGCAACCACTTTGGTGACCAGATAATCTGCAGGAGCAGCTCGGGGCACAATATCATGTGCAAGGTACCCATCCAACCGAACTGGGTAAAGAACAACTGGAGCATTGTCATTCTGATCTGCAATAAAAATCTGGACAGTGCATGTGCTAGTGAACGATGGCCTGCCTTCATCACGTGCCATAACTTGACCATGAAAGTGAGTGGATGATTCGTAATCAAAGGGGCACAGAGTAAATATCTCACCAGTTTCTGCATTGATGGAAAGATGAGAGGCTGCATCTTCTGAAAGAGAATACAGAATTCTTGCGTTCTGGCCTTCATCTGCATCATCAGCTCTGACCTTAATAACCAGGGTTCCCTGAGGCTGATTCTCTACAAATTTGATGCTGTAGTCACTGTGTCTAAAAACAGGAGGATTATCATTAACGTCTATGACTGTTATGGCTACAGTTTTACTGCTGAATAAAGGGAGTGTGCCAGCATCCACAGCAGTCACAGTTATGTTATAGTGAGGACACTTTTCCCAGTCTAAAACTCCATCAATCACAAGCATGAAGTAATTCTTTACCTCTGACACAAGTTTAAATGGCACGTCATCAGATATCTTACATGTGACATGTCCACTGGTGCCAGTATCAAGGTCATAAACGTGCAGCAAAGCCACCATGGTTCCAGGTGAAGCATCTTCTGGCACAGTAGAAGTAGTTGATTTAACAGCAATAACAGGTGAATTGTCATTCACATCTATCACATCTATTATGAGTTTACAGTGAGATGACTGGCCGCCCCCATCTTTGACTTGCACATCCAGCTCGTGAGAACTGGCCTCCTCATAATCCAGTGCAACCATGACCTTTACCTCACCCGTCACGTGGTCGACCTCCACAATCCCCCTCGTCTTATCAGGCACGTGACTGAAACAGTAACTAATTTCCCCATAAATCCCATTGTCTAAATCTGTTGCATTTAATTTAACCAACACAGTGCCTCGAGGTGAATTTTCCTGCGCACTGACTTTGTACACACTTTGACCAAACACAGGAACGTTATCATTGGCATCCAACACGTGAATGTGAATTGATGTCGTTCCAGAACGAAAAGGTCGGCCACCATCCACTCCACTTAGAGTCAGAAAATGATCAGCTTGGTTTTCTCGATCCAAAGGCTTTTTAAGAACCAATTCAGGATATGCATTTCTGTCCACCTGGGTATTCATTTCCAAAGCAAAATATTCATTCTCACTGAGTTGATAATGGTGAACTGAATTAGCTCCTATGTCAGGATCGTGAGCACTTTCAAGTGGAAAACGTCTCCCCAAGACCGTTGACTCCAGTAGCTCCAGCTCAATCTGACCATTTTCAAACATCGGACTGTTATCGTTGATGTCCTGGATGTCTAAGAGGAGACTGTAAACTTTGAGCGGATTTTCCAGGAGCAACTGGAATTGCAGGACGCACGACGCAGACTGCACACAAAGCTCCTCACGGTCCATTCTCTCACTCACCAACAGAGAGCCTGTTTCTGAGCTCAGCTCGCAAAACTGTCGGCTCCCCTCAGCAACAACTCGAGCGTTGCGTCTCACGAGCTCAGTCACATCTATCCCCAAATCTCTCGCCACATTGCCAATGACAGAGCCTCGCTGCATCTCCTCTGGAGCTGAATAACGCACTTCACCGAGAGAGCCCCACATGCAAATGAAGCAGAAACAAAGCTGAAGCCAGAAATTGGCCCAAACGCATCTTGTCAAACAAATCATGTTGTGAAATATTAATGGCTATATTTAAATGAAAAAGAAAAATAATGACGATCAAAGCACATTCTGAACAGATCGTCAAATAGCTGGGGCAGACACTGCACTCTGATGACTGCTCCTGTCGGCTTAGATTTGTATTTTCATCTCTCCCTTCCTCTGCACGCCTACATCATCCCCCTCCCCATCTATCCCTTATTCCTCCCCTCCTCTGCTCACTGTGTAACAATGATTATACTGAATCAGGGCACACGGCACAGATGAGATCACTTGCTAAGCTGTGTGTAACATAAGAGCGTCACCCAGAGACCAAAAGAAAGAGTTACAGACACACCATCCACAAACTTGTGTTACCATGTACAAACAAAACACCACTGGATGTATTTTATTATTATTATTTTTTTTTTATAAAGAACATAGGAGTATAACTAGTGCTGAGAAACTAATATAAATTAAAATAGATCTCAATTTTGATATGCTATGGTTTATTTCAGGGGCCTGAGGAGTACTGAATATCAAGAACAAAACTGTTTTGGGGGGCTAAATCCCTTCTGAAAATGTATGTAACTAGCCACTATTTAGAATTTCATATAAACTTCTAGGTCAAATGGATAGCTCAGTACATTACCTCACAACTATGTCGGATGAACAGGTATAAGCCAGTTTGTAACATTAACACATGATGCATTAGATTCCCATTATTCTCAATTGTGATTTTCAATATTCGTTTTTTGCCATTTGTTGTGACATTTCACAGTGGCAGCTGTGATAAATAACTAAATAAATAATAACTAATAATAAAAAAATACTATCATGATGATAATAATAATAATAATAATAATAATAATAATAATAATAATAATAATAATAATAATAATAATAATCTATATAAATGGTTATGATGAGTTGTAATTTAAAAAAATTAGATGAGACTGCTTTTCTAAAATTTACAATGCCATTAAACAAATATTTAACATAGTCTAAATCAGATTCTATGGTGATGATAGCACTCATAAAAAACGCGTAACTAATTTCATACCTTATTTTCAGAGGTATTGTCCCGCATAGTCTCTGCATCAAGCCCTTCAAGCTCATCCACAGCAGGGTACCATCTCGGTCATGAAGGAGTTTCCTTCCGGAGAGGGGTATAATATGTGAGGGGAGCTGTCATTCTCATCCGTTATGAAGACACTCACGGTCACGTTACTGCTCAGAGGAGGAGAACCGTTGTCTCTGGCTAACACAAGCAAAGCAGCTCGCGGTCTAATTCACCTGTGGTCACCAGAGAATAGTAATTTTTGATTGAAGGTACAAGTTTAAACGGGACGTTTTGCTGAATGGAGCAGCGCACCTGTCCGTTATTCTCAGAGTCTCTGTCCTGCACATTAATGATGCCAACCTCTGTACCGGGTAATGCATTCTCAGGTATCGGGCTATTCAAAGATTTTACTATTAGTATAGGGGCGTTATCATTAATGTCACTTACACTGATTATAACATTCGAGTAAGATGTTAGACCGGAACCATCTTTAGCTATTATTCGCAGACTAAACGTGGCTTCTTCCTCAAAATCTATTGGCCCTTTTATGCTGATGATACCTGTCTTTCGACCAAGGTAAAACAATTGTTTGTAGTTTTCCATAACATCATATGTCACTTCTCCGTTTTGTCCCTCGTCAGCATCAGTAGCGCTCACTGTCACCACTACAGTATCTAGAGGAGAATTTTCAGGCAGACTGACTTTATAGACGGCCTGACTAAAGACTGGAGCATTATCATTAGCATCCAGCACAGTGACGTGTATGGCTACAGTACCTGATCTCGGTGGAGTCCCGCCGTCTACCGCAGTGAGAATTAATGTTACCTCCTGCTCGTGTTCGCGATCGAACTCTTTGTTTAAAATGAGTTCGGCGTATTTCTCTCCAAGAGAGTTGCTTTGCACGGATAAAATAAAATAACCATTACTTTGAATAGCATAGCTTTGTACAGAATTTTGCCCAATATCCGCATCATTTGCTTCAAGTAAGAAGCGTTTGCCCTTATCGGCGGATTCTCTGATCTCCAAATTAATCTCATCTTTACCGAAATTAGGACTGTTGTCGTTAACATCTTTAACACGAAGACTGATACGATGTAATTCTAGAGGATTCTCCAGCACGAAATCTTGATTTAAAACACATGAAGCTCTCTTTCCGCAAAGTCCCTCTCTGTCGATTCTTTCCGCTACGGTCAGTTCTCCAGTATTCACATTAATGTCACAGTATCGTTTTCTGTTACCTTCAGCATCAACGCGAGCCTTACGAAATGACAGTCTGTTCACATCGAGCCCGAGATCCGTTGCTATATTTCCAATCACAGATCCGCGTTTCATCTCCTCCGGGAAAGAATAGCTCACGTCTCCATAAGCGATGTGCGCCGTCAGCACGAAGAACAAAAAGCCAAACATCTCACCAGCAATATAGAAGGTGTAGATATCTTTGCGGAAATGAGTGCAAATGTAACCACGTTATCCACATGTAAAATAAAAAGCAAATGACTCAATATGGCAGATACACGAGGACAACAGATAATGCGCCTCTCATTGTTGGCGATTTTCTACAACAAGATGAGACGTCAGTCCTGAATGACATCATGAACAGGGTGGAGAGAAACAGCTATGTGAATGTCATCGGCTAAACTGGTAAACAGCGACACTAAGAGTTCAATTATGAAACTGCAAGTACTCTTATAGCTCTGATATTAAATGGCGAAACTTGGATATAAGCACATTAAATGACTTCATAACATCAAGAGTTCTGCACTTTGAAATATTCTCCTTAGATGTGAACAGAGAATAAGCATAATTTTCTAGAGCATCTATGCGTAAAATAAACACCCATGTATGTAGACCGACATACTAAAGCAAAACCTCAACAGCAACGGACACTGGCCCGTACAGCAGCGTGGAAAGCTTATAGAAATACACCGTCCCATTCTAAAACGTCTATTCAGTAAACTGAATTTTAAAAGAAATTATTTAATAAGAATTTAAAGGACTTCATGAACTTAGTTCAGACAACATGGTTAAAAATGTGCACGACTAATGTTTAAGAACCGTTTCTCATCGCATTTTCTTGCATAATTCCAGCACTATGTAAAACTTTAGTAAATTACTGAGAGCCTCGGACGACTCGTAATAAACGTGCAGTGCATTTTTTTTATTTATTTTTTTACATTTTTGTTATCTCTCATTTACCAAAATGATTTGAAATAAACTATGTCAAAACGTTCAAATGGATCATTGTCTTTAAGTTTGCTATAAAGTATTGGCAAAAAAAAACTTCACATTTACAATGATACCAAATAGTCTGTTCGTGGCTTTTTCAATCAAGGCCTGCCTTCGTGAGTACAACCAACAGCAGTCGAGATATGACGTTTTAAATTCTAAATCATGAAATCCAATTGACAAAAAAGAAAGAAAAAAAAACACCGTGATTATGCGATAATTATCACTAATACTTATATACATTTTAATGATCAAGTAAGGTATTTCAGCGTGTGCTGCATGAGCACCATCTCTGTCTCTCTCCTCCATATATTTCTCCAAATATACGCAACAACCTAAACAACGTAAAAGCTGATGCAGCACCATGGACAGCAACAGTACAAAGTTACCCTGTGTAATTTTCCATACAACTAAAAGTATATTGGCCTATTACTAAACAGAATGTTATTGGCTTCGGAATTGAATCCTCTTTATATGCTAAATTCATAAAAGCGAGACATTAACGAAAGAAACGCTAAAACAATAAAAGAAAGAAATAGATTCGTAAAAAAGGGCGATTTGTGAATATATGACTATGTATAAAACACTTTATATGTGACTACACTTCAGACCTTAATTGTAGACTTGTGAATGTTTGAATGTGAATAGGTCACGTGATCTTTTTCTAGAACAGAGCCTGTCAATACGATCAAATGAGAACACAAATTCACATTTAATTTCTAATCCCAGACCATTAACTATCTGTGAAAAACAGAGTTATTTAGTCCTACCTGAAACGAATCGCTCATTTCCGCATCAAGCCCTTCAAGATCATCCACAGCGGACTGAGTCTTTTTCAGAGTCAGGTCAGCAGTCAGTGTGCCCCAATTTGTAAAACAGAAAGAAGGGGCAGTCACTTAAGCATAATTTATATTAAGGATTCCTTAACTAGCAACGAAAAAAATAATAAAAAAATTAACTCGTGAACCAGGATTTATGACTTCAGATTTTTTTTTATGGTCATGTTTGAGCAATTTAAAGAGAACATATAAAACTAGCTACTTCTAAGCCTTCAAAACGAGCTTCAACATTTTTAAGAGCCTGTTGTCAGTGCAGACAGTCCATTAAAATAAACACACTAATTTAATCTGTAAGGTTAGAACATTAAAAAAGTAAGAAAAGAAACGTTAAATCGCAAAGTACCACCCATGTCAGCATCAAGTCCTTCCAAAAAAAAAAAAATTATATCACAAGATGCACAAATGTAACCATGTCATAAAGAATACAACAGCAACAAACACGGCCTGTACAGCACCATGGACAGCTAATAGAAATATGCCCTTTCTACTAACTATAGTGAACTGGGATTTAAAAAGAAATACGAAATTAAATTAGTTTATAAAATTGTTTCACAGAACAGACAACGAGATGGATGCAAGAAAGTTACCATTTCTAAAACCATTAGAAAGTATGTTGCCAATAAAAGTAACTTGCAAACCCAAAATATTAAAAAGATTAAAAAAATAAATAAAAATACTTCGTCAGTCCTACCTGAAAGGAATCGCTCATTTCCGCATCAAGTCTTTCAAGATCATCCACAGTGGACTGAGTCTTTTTCAGAGTCAGGTCAGCAGTCAGCGTGCCCTCATTATAAGATCTGACGAACTTGAAGTCACTAGTGCGCGAGCCCGTGGTCAGGTATGCGTCATAATTGTAAGTGCTGCGGAGAGTTCCCGCGCCCTCCACCTCTGCGTAATTTGGAGGGAGATACGCGCTGGGAATGGCTACAGCTCCATCAAACAACAGTCTGGGCTTTCTCCTGCGAGAAAA